TAATAGAACAAAAACTAACTAAAAATATATCATTTGAAATAAAACCTAAGAGCGATTGTTCCAACCTAATACAATAATCAAACAAAAATAAAAAGAAAGCCGCCAAATCCAGTGACGACAAGCAACTCGAAACAACCAAGTCCAACACGAAAGGGAATCCAGGCAAGAGGACATGAAAGAAAACTAAATAGAAACATGCAATACCGATAAGATGAACGAGAGGCCAATCCAATATCAAGATACTATTACGTATATAAGAAAAAAATAGGTTTGAAAAGTTTTTTAAATGGTTCTAATTTAAGAAGAGGCTTACTGAGTAATAGATAGATGAATGACGTGTCATACAGATATATATGTGCCGTTAATTTTCTTAATATCTCAAATGTTCTACATTCCCTCAATAATTTATTTTTAGATGAGGATTAAAATCAATGTTACAAATGGCTACAAAACAATTATGGTATAACTACATAGAGCAAGAGGAAAATCTGATGGATAACTATTTAGTTGATAATGACTACATGAAAGTTATATATTTGGGGGATGTGTTCAATTTGTGAAATGGATGGCTGGCAATGCTTGGCTTGTAACCACTTATCTAAAGTAGGCAGGGATAGCCACAATTTTGCTTGATATTAAATCTAATAATACTAAAAAATCATTGAATTTGGCATTATTTGTGAAAAATATCAACACACTATTAGTAAGAAAATGTTTAGATATTAAAAAAAAAATTCTAATTTTACAATTGATTCTTGACGTGTCATTGAAATATACATTTATTTGAATTTTTTGTCTCATATGTTCAAAATTGAATTTGAATGTATTCATAGATGTATTTGACTGTACTAGCATGTTACTTGTAAGCTAAAACTTGCACGTAAGAATAGAGAGTTTAGGGACAGTCAGGAAAAAGAGTTACACATCTCCAACAAGCATAATATCTACTATTAGTAAAAGGGAAATATCAGAATTTCCTCTATACCAAACTATTTTTCATTACCCCTTATTTATAGAGTTTTGAGGGCCACATGAAAGGCTATAGAGACAAAGGTAAAAATTAGAAGCTAAGTAGAGTACCCATGTTACATACAAATCTAGACACATGTCTCCTCCTGGTGGGCTAAAGGTGGGACAGATTAATGGCCTCTTAGGCGACCTCGCCTAGAGCAAGCTAAGAGGTGGCGAGTAGGTTTTGAGTGAATATGCACGAGTCATAAGATGTGACGGGATTCGCAACTAGTGAACGATTTAAGGTGGCTGACAACTAGTGTAAAGGATTTCAAATTGCGTTGAAGGGAGTGGCGAGTATGAAATGACAAAAATGGATTGTTTTATGCTGATCATTAATAGTTAAAAGAGTTGTGGGGTTTTTTGAAATAAGCACTTTCCAGTAGCTAAGCTTAGCGAGCTTGAAGATGAAGGCTCTGTGGGAGAGCTATTGACTAAGGTAGCAGTGAGTGACGATTTACTTGTTTGATAAGGGATTTTCAATTCGGCCCATGTAGAGTAAGCTTCTTAGTAGACTCAGACAAGTAGAGCATGTTGATGTCCTCAGTCGAGTACCTCTGACAGTTCCATGCAAGTGCTCTAAAGGGACCCCTCTTGAGGGCAATTGTCTTTATCATGACTCAATAGCCACCTACTTAAATATTGTGAAGTCAAGTATGAGTATAACAAATTATTTATTGGTGATGAACAAAATATATAGTATAAGATGGTGACACAAAGAATTACAGGATAAATACATAATTGATTTTAGTCTAACTTGCTTTTGAATTAAGGAGACTTATTGTGTCCTGAAGTATTCGCGGCGGTAGAGAAATATAAAGTTTAATGTCTTAGCATTGTACGAAGATCCAACACATACACAAATAAAAGAGAGGGTGTATCATTCACTAGAGACACCAAGATTTAACGTAGAAAACCCTTGAAGAGGGGGGAAAAACCACGGGGCCAAGCCCAGTTTGAATGAATCCACTAGTATTGCAGTTGATTACAAATGAGGCACTTCCTTGGGGGAAGGACTTAACTTGATGTACATCTTATAGAGTACATTACATGATGTGAATACAAAGAACCACTATTGATGTATTTGTTTGGTCGGAAGGGAAGTAGTTGGTGAGCGATGTAAGCTAGAAGGACTGTAGTCAGCGGGCGAGGAGGTCGAAAGGATTGTAGTCGGCAGGAGACGTAAGTCAGAATGTCCGTAGTCGGCGGGCAACAGAGGTCAGAAGGACTGCAGTCGGTGGGCGACGTAAGTCGGAGGGATTGTAGTCGGTGGACGATGGAGGTCGGAAAGACTTTTGTCGATGGGTAACGTAAGTCAAAAGGAACGTAGTCAGCGAGCGACAGAAGTCTAAATGACTGTTGTCTGACGACGAAGGTCAGAAGGATGGCGTCAGGTAAAAATCCAGCAATGGACAGAATTCCAGCATCAGATAGATGTCTAGAGTCCGATATCAGGTAGAAGTGCGGTGTCGGGTAGAAACTTGACGACGAGCGGAGGTCCAGCGTAGGGTAGAAGTTTGATGTCGATTGGTGGCCGAGGAGAACTCCGGCGTCACTTGGAGCACGGGTGAAACTCCGTCGTCACTTCAAGGTCGGGCAAAATTTCGGTGTCACTTGGAGGTCGGGCAGAATTCCGACGTCACTTGGAGGTCTGGCGGAATTCCGGTGTCACTTGGAGGTCGGCTGGAACTCCTGCAGTGGTTGAGGAGGAGTTCTTTTCTCATATTATTATCTTCTCCTCTTCTTCTCTAGCTTCCCTCATCTCTCAAGAGAAATGAGGGGTCTATTTATAGATTTCTGGAGTGGCATGACCCGTAAATAGGTGAGAGATCAAAGATAAATGGGGAGTGGTTGGATGGATGACCGATATTAAATCCCTTGATCATGTATAGTTTGCCAGACATTTGAAGGTCTTAATGATGTCAGAATTTCGGCGATTTTGGGCTCCTTAGTTTCATCTCGTTGAGTCACTCGATTCGACTATAAGCACATCATGTTTTGAAACCGTTTGGTAACTCAAATTATGGTTTGAACTTTCCAACAATGCCTCGGATCCTTGATATATACTCATTTGGGATCAGATTGTGTCGAATTTGGTGTCGTTGGGTTCGTATTTCCGAGACGCTCAGTTTGAGTGTAAGTTTATTGAAATCATATTCAGGTAATCCCATATTTAATTTTTTAAATTTCCAAATAGATTTTGCCTCAAGATTTGTGCCCGATCATGATATTTTTTTTTTATGATATATCAAGACCATTTCAAGCTTAGAAGCTCATGATGTTGTTGAATATTAGAAAAATTCATGTGTCATAAAACTATTGCAATTGTGCGTTATATTCATCTTTTTATAATAACTAACATTTTTTTATAGGAAAAGAAATGGGTTAGAATATTTTAGTACAAATTGCGTTAGGATAGGCTCTAAAATTTTTTGATATACTTGTAGATTAATGCAATTCAATTTATTTATATACAACACTAATCTTAAAGTAAATTTAATAATTTTTAAGTCTATCTTGATAAAATTTATATTAGAATATCCTCAAATAATTTTTTCCCTTTTTCTTATAGCAACAAATTTGTTAAGTCATTAATTTAATTATTATTATCATTTGAAGTTTTAATCCCGTCGTATAAGAGTCGAATTCAAAATATTTAAGTGAATGATCAACACAACTCTTCTTCAACATTGATACGGCATTGAGCATCTCACTCCTATATAGCTCACCTCCGCTTGTTGAGCGAAAGGTCAGGCTATCAGCGAAGAAGTTTTGGTTCGATAACTTGAAGATACGTGCATGTGTTTGAAATTAGTGACGCAACAAATATGATTAATAAATTGAGCATCTCACTCCTATATAGCTCACCTCCGCTTGTTGAGCGAAAGGTCAGGCTATCAGCGAAGAAGTTTTGGTTCGATAACTTGAAGATACGTGCATGTGTTTGAAATTAGTAAATTGAGCATCTCCCGAGTCAGCTCATTTATAATAAAAGAGAAAAAATAATTAAGAGTTAAACACTTATTATAATAAAATTATAAAAAATGAGAAATTAGAATATGTACAATAAAATTACTTGATATAATAAAGTGAGATGTAATTTTTAAATATTTTAAGTAACTTTATAGTTGAACTCTTGAATTTAAATATACTGTGTGTATTTTATATTAAAATTTATTAAACTAGCCAGCTCTTGAGCTAACAAACTGAAACAAGGCTAGCTCAAGCTCTACTCGTTAGCTCAATTTTTAGACTTTTGTGGCAATTAAGACAAACTTACACTTAGATCACACACGCAAGCTTCGAATCCAAGACCTTTGATTCGTACTCAAAGCTCCCAACCAACATATCAAGATGAGCTGAGTCTAATTAGCTTATTGAGCTCAACTCATAAGTCATCTATTTAGCTAGCTTAACTCACTGAGAACCCTAGCTATACTGCACACTTACAATTCTTTTATATTACAGAAAAAATTAAAAATAAATTAAAATTATTGAGAATATAATTAATATTTTTATTTTGGAAAATTGGATAACAACTGCGTTGTAGCCGACTCTTTTTAATTTATCTTATTCTTAAAATAAATAAATAAAAGAGAAACAAACAGATAGATTACAGTGATAGAGCTGTCCCACACAAAGCTAACATCGCGCAGCTGCTGACCATCCGATCAAAATCCGATGCCGTTTCCGCGGAATCTTAACGGCTCGTATTTGCTGCAACCATCACTGTGAAATATTAAAATTCCAACATCAAAACCAAGTTAGGTTCCCGCATAAAACTTGCCGCGGCTTCCAACCCACCGCGTCCGGTTCAGGTGACTATAGACCGGCCGGTCCAAACCGTGTTGATTTTTTTCTTTAAAATAAATAAATTTTATTTTATAGAGAATAAACGTATCGACCTTCACCAGAAGAAACCCTCACCTCCACCTTCCTCTCGTCGTCTTCCTATTCCCTTCCAATCGTCGTGCTATAAATAGCCTTTTCTCCCCTCATTCCTTGTATCGGATCCCAGACTTACATGTCTCAGAGAACAAGCGATCCACATTCCTCTTCTGTAGCCTTCGGTATCCACTCCCATCTCCTGGTCTCCAGTGAGATGAACCCTAGCTCCGATTGGTAGAATTCATCACTCCTTAACTTTTGCCCAACCTCTCTATCTCTATTTTCTGTGTCTTTTTCCCGATCCCCTTTGTTTTCCTTCGAATTTGAGAAAATGGGTTTCAAGGGGTTCGCGGAAGGTGGGATTGCATCCATTGTCGCCGGATGCTCAACCCACCCGCTAGATCTGATCAAGGTCCGGATGCAGCTACAGGGCGAAACGTTGGCGCCGGTTCCCGCGCTACGACCGGCACTCGCTTTCCCAGGCTCGGCCACAGTCGCTATCCCCCAGCCCGCTCTTGCGCCGCCACGCCGCCCTGGGCCCATTGCCGTGGGTCGGCAGATCCTCTTCGCCGAAGGTCCAGCAGCTCTCTTCTCAGGCGTTTCCGCCACCGTACTGCGCCAAACCCTATACTCCACCACCCGTATGGGCCTTTACGAAATCCTCAAGACCAAATGGTCCTCCTCGACCTCCACTACCGGTGGCGCGCCAACGATCCCGCTGTACAAGAAGATCACCGCAGGTCTGATCTCTGGCGCCGTCGGCGCGGCTGTCGGAAACCCCGCAGACGTCGCGATGGTGCGGATGCAGGCGGACGGCCGTCTCCCCATGGCGGAACGCCGGAACTACAAAGGGGTAGGCGATGCTTTGGGTCAGATGGTGCGGCGGGAGGGGGTGAGATCCCTGTGGCGGGGATCGGCTCTTACGGTGAATCGAGCGATGATTGTGACGGCGTCGCAGTTGGCAACGTACGATCAGGCCAAGGAAGCTATATTGAGGAAAGGATTAATGCCCGACGGGTTGCCTACACACGTTGCGGCGAGCTTCACCGCCGGATTGGTGGCAGCGGTAGCGTCGAATCCGGTGGATGTGGTGAAGACGAGGGTGATGAATATGAAGGTTGAGAAGGGGGCGCCGCCGCCGTATGCCGGAGCGCTCGACTGCGCATTGAAGACGATGAGGGCGGAAGGGCCTATGGCGCTTTATAAAGGGTTTATTCCCACTGTTTCTCGCCAGGGACCGTTCACCGTCGTCCTCTTCGTTACCCTTGAGCAGGTTCGAGCGATTCTCAAGGATTTTTAGCTGCATCTTGAACGACGTTTATCGCTGGTTTTGATTAATGATGATGACGAAAATGTATTTTCTGTGAAGCAGAATGGGTGCTGTACTTCTGAATTAAAATATTTATAAAATTTTAAATAATTATATAATATAATATTATTTTTTTAATAAATATATTTCTTCATTAATCGAAATCAATTTAAAATCCTTTTGTCCTCTCCATTCATTCGCTAAATTGTACAGAGTACCAGAAAAAAAAAAGAAATAAGAGAGAAGGAAAAAAAAAAGTTAAGATTTGAAGCCAGTGGAGTGATTTTCGTCAATCGACTCTGTTAGAAGATTTATTCGTCTAATTGTAAGGAATCATTATCTTTTTTTTTCAATAATTTTATAATTTTTCGTCCAAATTTATATTTTTATTACAAAAAAACAAGAATAAATTTGCTTTGATTAACTTTTTTAGGGTAACTTTTTATATATTATAGAATTTGATATTATGAATATGTTGAATACTTATCTAAGAATTTTTGTCGTGTGATTTTGAAAAATGAATAATTTTTTATCAATTTAAAATTTTATTTTGACATCTAAAAATAGTACTTTAGTTCAATTAAAACTTCAAAATGTTGTTATATGTGATCTCTGGTAATTTGGTTAATTATTAAAAATGTATATTTATGCTCAATTAGGTTTTATGTTGCCTGACATCATGACATTTTAGTACTTTCTGAATTAAGCCAAATTATACTTTATTTATTGCAATGCATTATGAATGAATGTATGTATTTGAGGTAATAGTTGGTCACTATTTGTTACGTCATGGAGTATTCACGGCGGTAGAGAAATATAAAGTTTAGCATCTTAGTGATGTACGACAATCCAACATGCAATCAGATAAGAGAGAGGATGTAGCATTTATGAGACACCAAGATTTTTACGTGGAAAACCCCTGAAAAAGGGGAAAAAATCACAGGGTCTAGCACAGTTTGAATGAATCCACTAGTATTGTAGTTGATTACAAATCTTCTTGGGGGATGACCTTAGCGTGATATACATCTTATAAAGTACATTAAATGATGAGAATACAAAGAATCATTGTTGATGTGTTACTTTGGTCGGAAGGACTGTAGTCGGTGGGCGACGTAAGTTAGAAGGACCGTAGTCGGCGGACCACGGAGGTCAGAAGGACTGTAGTCGGTGGGCGACGTAAGTTTGAAGGAACTTAGTCAACAAGCGATGGAGGTCAGAGGGACATTAGTCGGTGGGCGTCATAAGTCAGAAGAATCGTAGTCGGCGGGCGACAGAGGTCAGAAGGATTGTAGTTGGCAGGCGACATAAGTCAGAAGGACCGTTGTCTGGCGACGGAGGTCAGAAGGACTATTTTCTGACGACAGAGATCAGAAGGGCGGCGTCGGGTAGAAATCCAGCTATGGATATAAATTTCACATTGGATAGTTATCCGACGAAAGTCCGACCACGGGCATAAGTTTGATGTCAGGTAGAAATCTGGCGATGTGCAGAGATCCGTTGTTGGGTAGAAGTCCGAATTCAATCGGTGGCTGGGAAAAACTCTGGTGTTAGATGATATTCAGGCGAAACTCTAGAGTCACTTGGAGTTCGGGTGAAACTCCGACGTCACTTGGAGGTCAAGCGGAATTTCGGCGTCATTTAGAAGTCGGGAGGAATTTTAGCATCATTTGGAAGTCGGGTGGAATTCTAGCGTCACTTGGAGGTCGGACGGAATTCCGAAGTCACTTTGACGTTGGGTAGAACTCCGGCGGTGGTCGATGAGGAGTTTCTTCCCTCATATTCTTGTCTTCTCCTCCTCTTGCTTCTTTTCTTGCTTGGGTTCCCTCTCATGAGAAATGAGGGGTCTATTTATAGATATTTGGACTAGCATGGCTTGTAAGTATGTGAGAGATCAGGGGTAAATAGGGAGTGGTTGGATGGACGACCGATATTGAATCTCTTGATTGTGTACCGTTCGTCAGACATTTGAAGGTCTTATTGATGTCAGAATTCGACAATCTTGGGCTCGTTGGATTCGTCTCGTCGAGACACACAATTCGACTATAAGAACGTCATATTTGAAAACCATTTAGTAACTCAATTGTGGTTTAATATTTCCTATAGCGCTTCAGGTGCTTGATTTGGACTCATTTGGGCTCGGATTGAGTCGATTTTGGTGTCGTTGAGTTCGTATTTTCGAGACGCTCGGTTTGACTATAAGTTCACTGAAATAAGAGTTCAAGTGATCCCGAATTTAATTTCTGAAGTTTTCGGCTTGATTTTGCATCGAGATTCGTGCATGATCAAGATAATTTTTTGATGATACATCACTATTAATATTATAGTAATAAGATAGTAATGTTTGTGCATAAATGATAAGTAAAAACTAGTTAAGTCGTTGGTTGGAGATTGTTTGACCTGCATAGGATTGTGGGTTGACGAGCATTTCTTTAAATACTTAATTTTATAATATATGATACAACAATACAATGATTTGGAGTTATAATGAATTATTGTTGTGCCAACAGACAAAGAGTGAAGGCTTTATTTACTAAGCCAATAATTTACAAACAGTGATATGATATGAAAAAAATACCAATTAAATCAGAACTTATTACTTATTTAGTATGATTATTGAAATGCATATTATTGATTCATTATTGCTATATGACTTTACTCTTGGTTATTTGGATTTGTGGTCACTATTTATGATTTTATAGCATAAAAATTAAAATAGGAAAATACCTATAAACTTTGATTAGTCTTGAACTTCTAATCTACAAGCTCCCCTTCTATTCCATAGAGCTTGAAAATCAGAAGCAAATTTACAGTGAGCTACAAAAATTTATCAAGCAACACAAATCGATCTTGATTTTTTAAAAAAATTATTAAATATTTGGCTTAATGTTTAAGATTAGTTAAATGCAATCTAATAAATTAATGTATTGAAAAATATAATACGAGCATAGCATTATCCAATTATAAAAAATAATACAAAGCAAATGAATAAATTATAATTTAAATCATAGAGCAGTTTATATCATATTCCCCGGACCCATATAGAATCTCAAAGAATTCTGGCTTCTTATGACTCCTCTTTATGCTTATAGTACTATAATATATCCGTAGACATCGTACTATGACTTTTAGGCATCAGAACATACTTTATAGGCTCTAGAATATTCCTTGACACAAACAAATCTAAAAAATTATGGTCTCTTATAACTCCCAACATATATTATTTAATCACATATGCACATTTTTCATCATGTTATAGTAGTTAAAAAGTAATTGCGCATGTGTCAAAATTGCATAATTTTCTCTAACGGTAGGCAGCAAAAAATCTCACAGGCAAACACATGCATATTTCCAAAAAATAACCAAATTATCATGAATTGTGTAAAATATTATTTTAAGACTTTTATCTTACCACTTCACTATTTTTTTAGAGTCTAGATGAATTTCTATTGAATAAAAACGGCACAAATTTTAAAACCCAAAATTATAAAAATTTTAGAAAAGAATCAAAACATTTGTAATCTATATCTAAACATATAAAAATTATGTTGTGAAAGTTTTGCCATTGCAAAGTTATCCGCATTTTTCGCTAACGGGAACAAAAATTTGATAAAAAACATTAGATAAAAACTTCATATTTAAAAATTGAGATATGTGTAATGCGACCTACCTCGATTCAAACAGCTGTCTGAACTAGGCCGACGGTTAAAAATAACCCAAAGCGGCTAAAAAATCATTTTCTTGTAGCTTTTTCCAATCAAGTTAGAACAGGTCAATCCAAATGCTGAACCAACATGTGTCATATCTAAAGCTTATCTGTGAGATCTCTTCAAGACCCTTTTGCCCTTCACCTGAGCAATTGTCACTACAACTCCTTACAAGATCCCGTCACAAACTTTGTCACCTTTCGCCAATACGCATGTCACGGCTTTTTATTTATCATCGAGGGTTTCATCTATGCTCTTAAAGAAGCAATATTTTTTATAAATAATAATATTCATTAGTTTTTATGAATATCATGAAAATGAAATAATTTTGAATGCTATATACAAAATCCCCATATTTTGATTGCATATAGCATTTGGCATGTAAAAAAGCATCAAATATCAACTCCTAATTTTCTGTAATGTGCACACAAAAGAAATTTAATTGATAAAAAATTACAAATTATTGCTAACACATTATGAATGAATTTTAATTACTTTAAAATGAATTCCTTATAAGAAAAAAAAAAAGGTTAAATTCCATTTGCGAAGTACTGATAATTTGTTAAAAATCATTCATGATATAGAAATATTTGAGTCATTAATCTTTATAATTTTCAAATTTTAAAAATACTGATAATTAAAAATAATTGGTAAATTTTCAAAGCTATTGACCAAATCTATTTGGAATTCTACCCATTCAAATTGATGGATCACCGTCAATCATACAATTAACTCGGATCCTAAATATAATGGACGGCGATTATTTAGGGAGTTTTACCTTGAATGATTCACAAGTACAACCTTTAAAAACAAGCACGTGGCTTTTTCCTAACCGTCCGATTCATATAAACTTATGTTGGAAGGTGTCGATTCATATCTTAGTATCTCACAGCTCAATACTAATCTTACGCGCCACCTACATTTGCACCACATAAAAGAACCATCGGTACATGGTAGGTCCCACTTTTTGTTAGAAGCGATATAAATTGCCGTAGGTCCCCACCGCGAGTTTTCATGACCTTTCCTTTTGGAGCGAGGACTGTCTCTCGTCGCTAAGAGTTTGTACTGGCCGCGGACTCCGATCTCATCGGGGAATCGACGCCTTGTACGCCATCCGTGGCGGGGTTAGGGTTTCGGTTCTTTACGAATGATTGCCGGCGAATCCTGTGTTGTTAGCGTTCTTTGTGTTTTCTGAGATCTAACCGTCGATATTGCATCTTGCGTTTTCCTTCCGGAAGTGGAGGGTCGATAGGTTCTCCGATCTCCGGCCTTATGAACAGGAAGAAGAGGAACAGGCGTCCTCCGGCCATCTTTTTCTTTTTCCCCTTGTATTATCCATGATTCCCTCGTATCTTTTGAAGAATCGTGCAATTCTGTTGGTAGTTTGGAGTTTTTGCTTTTCGGTATAGCAATGGAGGCTGTGAGGAGGAAGAGAAAAGGGACCAAATCTTCTTTTATCCTAGGATCGCACCTTTCGGATGGCGGTGATAACGATAGGCAATGCAAGAAAAAGTGTATGGAGGGATCGCGGCCGGCTAAGTTGGGGCCTCGAGATGGCGGTGCTGCCCCCGGCGTCGTGATGACGGCGCCTCCATCTGGTAGGTCGGCATCGGCGTCTCCTTGCCGTGGGATTAAGCGGAAGCTTGGCTGCATCGAATCGGTCACTCGGATCGGACGTAAGAAAAAGCTGGAGCAGGAGTACATTCTTGACCGGGAGATCGGGCAAGGGAGGTTTGGATCTGTGCGATTGTGTAGGAGCAGGGTCAGTGGGGAGCAATTTGCCTGCAAGACGCTTCCCAAGAATGGCGAGGAAACTGTTCACAGGGAGGTGGAGATCATGCAGCATATATCGGGCCACCCTAATGTGGTAACACTGAAGGCTGTTTTTGATGATTCTGAATGTGTGCATTTGGTGATGGAACTTTGCTCGGGAGGACGGTTGCTGGACCAAATGGTTAAGGAAGGGAGGTATTCGGAGCAGAGGGCTGCAAATTTGCTCAGGGATCTGGCCTTTGTCATCAAATATTGTCATGACATGGGAGTTGTGCATAGGGATATTAAGCCAGAAAATATTCTTCTAACAGTGTCAGGGAAGATGAAGCTTGCAGATTTTGGATTGGCGGTGAGAGTTGCAAACGGTAAATTTTTTTTAAATGCTTTTATATTTCATCTTATAGCTTTCCTGGGTGTCATTGCTTCTGTGATGATTTATGATAATAAGGTCCTTTATCCTCTTATGGTCTAATTTTGTTCTTTTTAATGAATTTGGTGAGGCCACATGGTAAATTTGTTCCAGTTAATGCTAATGTATCCTCTATGGGAGTTTTAGCATGCCTTGTTAGTCTGAATTATTCATCCAATAGACAGGGTTGGACAAATCTTAGATGTAGACTGAATCGCACTTAATCACAATAATGATGTCAGAATGGGTTGATTTGTATTTTAAAGAACCTTTCCAAGAATTCTTGTGTTTGCTTTGGGGCTTGTAAATTTATTGTAATCCTATGTAAAAAAATTGTGTTATATTCATTTATTTTCACCTATATGCTTGTGATTCATGCCTATATTCAGTTTTCATTGTCGCGCCCTCATGAATAATGATCATCCAGACATCTTTCTTTAGGGTTGTTAGAACAATGTTATATCTATTTATTTCAGGTCAATCAATGACACGTGCAGATGATGCTTAAATCCAATTTTGTTTTCATGACAATCTTCCACCTTTTGATCTTTTTAGCAGTGTTAAATTTAATTCTATGTAGCAGGCTAGCAAGATTTTTAGCTTTGGTCTTATGAATTTTGCTATTCCTTTCAAGCTAAATATTATTAGCCAACACACTTACAATCAAAATATGGAGCTTTCTTAGCAAGAGATTCAGACTGACTAAAAGTATCCACTGATGTGAAGTATATATTTAAGTAGAAACAAAATCATATTAGTTGGATCCACCTAGTAAGTATTCCAGCATGTTTCAACCAGAAACATCAAACTAATGGTGAAACAAAAGCCTTCCAAAAAAAATCACACAAACATCCAAAATCCCCATAAGAAGTGGATATCACAAAACTCAGCATTTCATAATGTTCCAACCATATACTCAAATCAAAGCAAGAAAGATAACCATTCTAGAGAAACACAAAACCTCACAACAACAAAAAATTATTCAGAGGTGGATATCTAGCTTCGATGCAAGTAATCTGACTAGTTAGTTTCTCATCCAAAATTGAAGGGGTTCACAAACATTATATGTCTATTATTTTTCCACCTCCATCTTTTAATCTTTTGAGCAACCTGAATTTAATTCTATGTAGCAATTTAGCATGACTATGAGCTTTGGTCTTAAGAATTTTGCTATTCCCCTAAAGCTAAATATTACGTACCAACACACTTACAATCAAAAAATAGAGATCTCTTACCATGTAGTGCCCATGAGGAGATGAATTTTGATGTTTGTAATGAGATTTTAAAAAGAAAAAAAAATAATCATAACCATCTAAGAGAGTTTTAACCAACCACATTGAATAAGGAGATCCAAAGAGAAGGTGGAAATGAATTATATTATGCATAGAACAATGAGCATAAGTTTAGTTGATAATAATCATTATGCCTAAGATGTTATTCATTTTAGTCCATTAAGGCAAGTAATTCATGTTTGATAGAGGTTCTGAGAGGTAACCCTTTACGCAACATAAATTTTGTCCATTAAGAATAAAGAATGTTAATAAATGGATGTTTGGACTTTCAACAATGTGAAGATTTCATTCCCATTCTAGAGAAACTTATCCTTATTAGGCTGAATAGTGATAGATTTAGGGTCTATTTGGTTGGCCATAAAGTAAATACAATGTAAAGTAAATCCTTTGATGTTGTTTGGTTGTCTGTAATCTAAAGGTAGGGGAACTGTTTATTTTTTTGTTTGGTTGAGACGTTGAGTGTATGCAGAGTAAAGGAAATTCAATATATTTGAAAATAATGGACAATTTGATAATTCCTATAGCTTGGGAACATGATCTAGGCAAGATGAATGGTAAAAAGACAAAATTGAAATCCATGCATCCCAATCTACTCAAAGACATGGTATCATAAAGAATCAAGCAATATCCATCCAAGAAGATACATATTTACACTCTAAGAACTCATAAAATAGATTAAGCACATCAAAATAAAGCATAAGCTCTTATGGACCAAGCTTCAACAAATAAACACAAATATCCGTTTTTTGATCACAGATTAGGACATAAAAATAAAGAAAATTTTAGTAAGATGATTCTATACCTGCGACAATGGAGGAAGAAATGCTGGCGTGAAACAAACTTCTTTCTCTAGCCCGCACTCGTGATTTCCTTTTTTCACTCGAATCGGGCGATTTACTTTACACGGAGAATGAGTTAAGGCGGGGAGTTTGGTATACATTGATATTTTATTTTACTTTACTTTGAGTCAAACCAAACATCTAAAAAGTTAAAATCCATGCATTTACTTGACTTTACACTCATTTAACTTCCAACCAAATAGCTCAATGTTATTGGAAGCAATTAGAGTAGGAATGTTGAAAAGTGATCAAACTCCATTTGAGATAATATCAACTATTTTTCCATTTGCAGAGAGATTGGGAATAGAACGTATATAACAAACAACTTTTAAATAACTTTCATATTACAAATAGTGTTAAGGATATACTAAGAGATGGGAAACTTTTTCTCCCTTTCACATTAGGCAAAGTTGGTTGATGCCAATATATAATGTGAAACTTTTTAGGTGCTTCCTCATCTTATAAAAATATAGTTGCTAGAGTAGTAACCTTCAAAAAGTATGTAGGCAAAGACAAAGATCTGCAGCAGTAGGATAAATTTTTTTGAACAGAGGATCTAATAGATTGAAAACAATCAGCCATATATAATTTTTTTTTGGTTTGAATCCATCCAACCTTTTATTAAGTATATCATACAAAGGTTTGACAATCCTTAGCTAAGATTCTGCCAGGCTGAGGGAAGGCCTAGATATTTCATTGGTAAATAGCGATGATTAATACAAATTACTAAGGATATCACAAAGGAATATTATTTTTTTACAAATTCTGCAAAATAAATTATCATCATATTAGAATTAACGTATATCCCATAAGGTTACTGAATGTGGAAAGGCAATCCTATAGAGTTGATGATGCATGCTCTATAAGATTTTTATGATGAAGATAGCAATTTGATTGGTATCCTCTTATGGTGGGGTGGAGGGTTATGTGGGTGGTGGTGAAAATAGTATTTAGGGTTTATATATATTTGGTGTTGAAACTTCTAGGCTGTCAAAGGAAAAGTTTTTCTTAGAGAAAACAAGTGAATAACTTTGGATTAAAGGTTTGAGATATTAAGGAATTAGTTTTGATATTTTTATGGACTTTTAATCAATGGTTAAGGAGTTGTGAATTTTTCAATCTGGTTGTTGATCATGGAAAATTGCTTCTTTAATGGGGCATTGAGACCGTGGGAGGTTATGAGTGATATGAGGGAATATGTAGGAGAATTTTAAAATATTGAATGTATTTTGGGGTTGAGTAAAGTTAGGATTGTGGTTATGTAGAGGAGATAAGAATTTTGTTGGGAAAGAGGAATAAGGGTGGGAAAATATCATTAAGAACTCAAAATCTCTAGGGGATCAGCTATCAAGCTTTTTACACTAAGTTTGCAAAAGTAAAAGGTAATTTTTATTTAATGAATTCAATAGTACAAAGCAATATATTCTTTATAGGTCTATTCCAAACCTAAATAAATTTGTAAATCCTTGGGAGCTAATAAGTACTATTATATTTGATTGATGATTTGTCCTAATACAAAACGAAAGAAAATACGTGAAATAAAATAAAATTTAAAACTTTAAATGGCATGAAAATTTTGATTGGCCAAAGAAGGCAAGTCTAGTGGTTTTGAAATAAACAATTATTATAGATTTTTTGCTTTCTTGACTTGTATGTCTGACCTACCTATTAAGGGCTTTAAATTGAGCTTCTTATTTACTTTTCAATGATTTTAGAGAGATTATGGGTCGTGAGCTTTGCATGATGATTAATCCAAATTTTTATGTAGTGCCTTGCTTTTTGGCCTTCTTATTGATCTTTATATTGAATCATTGATGTTGCATTAACTTCATCAGACCTCAAATAACTCAACTCTGCAAGTTAAAGTCCATGTACTCATCAACAAGATCTAAGGCAGGTTTATCCAAATTTTCTTTGGTCATTTAAGTGTCCTTAGAAAGTAATTATTTTTTATCTGACCAAGAATTTAGGTGATGTGCATGTTGATAGTGAGTGTTCTTTGAAATGATGCTATCAATATGCAAGAGCTGTGGTTTATTAGAAACTCGCACAATTAGACTTATGTCTCATGCAATCGGATTATCTTACAAATCTTGAGACTTAAGAATATTCCCTGATAAGATAGTATATCATTAATATTAAAAATAGAATTTATGTGCACGTTAGGAGGGAATTCAAGAAGATAAAACATTTGATCTAAAATTCTTAATAATTTTGGATGGGCCACAAGTTCAATTATTGAGCTTAGTATATTGGATGGGATAACGCTTGGGGAAAATTTAAATTAAGAGATGATCATTTCCTTACATTCCTTAGAAGAACATTTAAAATTTACTACAATTGTATATTTATTATTAATCAATTAGATTTGTTGTTTTACTTGTTTATGTAGATCATAAAAAATTTGTGAAAATGTGAATGTAAGATCTAAAACTGAATGATGGGGAATATTTGTTATATTAATTAGTTTCTTTGGGTCATTACGATAAAAAACTTTGAAATATATTTTTTGAGATGTGTTAGAAATAATGCTGTAATATGCAAACTTAGAAGTAGGTTGATGCAAGTCTCAATCGCTATTATTCTTAACTACCTTAGTAAGCTATCTAAGGATTTATTAACAATTGTTATTTGATTGTCTGATTGGGGCTTGAAATGTAGATTAAAATTTTAATTATATTTTAACTAGTTCTCATAATTTTAATTATATTCTAACTAGTTATCATAATTTTAATTTTATTCTAACTAGTTATAAAAAATATACAATAAATCTGACTTCCCTGTTTGAAACTATAATTGATGATAATCCCTGTAATCTAATATTTTCTTTGAAAAAAGGTTGATTATATTGTAGACGGTATTAATTTTTGAACTTGATAAAAAGTGTGTTATTTTTGAGAAATTATTAATAACCATTAAATTATTATCATGTCCACACAAAATTCTTGACAATCTTAAAATAAAATCCATGGAAAGATCTTCCTAAAATCTATAGGGGATCGGGAGAGCAATGTACTTATTAATGTTTTGCTTAGTTATTTCTATTAGTTTACAAGTAAGACGATGGATAATGATGGATTCACTATCTCTTTTTAGTAGACGACAACAACAACAACGGGCCTTTATCCCACTATGTGGGGTCGGCTAAATGAATCCTTTTTCTCCATTGTGTCATGTTAAGATTTACTCTCTTTTTAGGGAGGTTAAAAAAGTCTTGATTCTACCAATTTAATGGTTTTATCCTTTTCGAAGTATCCTGATACACCCTTTAAAATGAAGCCTAGTGATTAGAAAATCTCAAAGAGATGATATGGGATACAAAGCTTCTCAATAAAAATAGCTATAAAGTAGATGAAAATGAAGCTTAGTGATTAGAAAATCTCAAAGAGATGATCTAGGGATACAAAACTTATTTTCTCAATAAAAATAGCTATAACGAACATAAATGAGGTTGGTCGGAGTAAGAGGTTTATCCTGTTCATTTAAGAAGATGAAAATCAGGTTAGACAATATAATCATTTTTTATTCTTGAGAAGTAAAAAAAAATTGTGATTCTAAAGAGGAGATGACTAAGTTGACTCGAGATAAAGCATCAATAGCTTTTTTCTTCGTATCTGTTGTGTGTTCAAAACTTCAAATGAAAGAATGGTTTTGAAGAAATTCAACATATTTGGTCTATCTATTGTTAAGTTTTTTTGGGTGTTAATACACTTAAGGGCATGATGGTGAAAATATAGGACACATTTTTTGTGTAATAGTAGTGTCTCTAGTGTTTAAAGGATTATATAATGTCATAAAATTCTTTATCATAAGTAGTTTTGCTTCGTCTCTTTAATATTTCACTAAAGTAATAACGGGATGATTATTTTGATTGAGCACTCCACTTATGCTAATCCAAAGGCATCAGAAAAGACTTTAAAAGGCTTGATAAAATCAAGCAATCAAATGACAGGTGAAAAGGTCATGACTTTTAATGCAGTCAAAGGCTTTGGCTGCATTAGTTGTCCATGCAAATTTAAAAATTTGAAGGATGTATGCAATTAAGCGATGATGATTCTAAAATTTTTAATAAATCTAAAAGAGAGTGAGAGGTATTGAACTGGACTGAAGGGACTTGTTTATGTTGGGGATAGGGGAGAAGTCATCGTAGAGAGGGGGATGGGAAGGAAAATGGAAGCCCTCCTGAAAATGGAAGCCCTCCAGCAGGAGTCAGAGGCATCTATATCCAAGACGAACCAATGGGTGAAGAAAAAGGGAAGAGATTAAAGGGAGAGAGGGGTGTCGCCAGGACATGAAACAGTATGGCCTCTGTTACTTTATCCACATTGCTTTCTCCTAACTACAATTGCTTTGTACCTATTGCCATGTGCCATATAACTTTTGCCTGTGCGACTGGGTGGTCTTAAGGATAATCTAGTTTTTTTGGTCAATAGTTATTTGGCAATTTTGGGCATTTATTGGATGAATGTGCTGCTTATGCATCCAGCAGAGTAATTCCAGGTTTAGAAATGCTTTTGTGGCATTAAGATTGGGTTGAATTGAATATGAAGTGGCTGTGATAGTCGAGAATTATAAGAATGAATGCGGAATAAGGTGCGACTTATATTCTTCTCAGTGGCTGTACAGGTTCCTTTGTTCATTATTGGTTGAGCTTTTAGTGTTTAATTTTAAGATTTACTGCCAGTTTTGCTTGCCATTCTAATTTTCCAATTATATAAAGGTTTTTTTAAATATTTTTTTAGTGTGATCACTGTTGTGCACCGAAATCTTACTTTATGACATTAAAAAAAACTATTGCACTTTTTTTCTTATATTGCAGTTGTGAACAGAAAATGGTGACGATGGTTTTTTGTTTGATGATGCCAGGAATCTTCTGTTTGCTTATTTCTATCAAATCATGTGGCATCTTGTTTTTCATGGCCATGCATTAGCTTTATCTCAACTATTTAGGTTCATGTTTCGATTTTCAACTGTGCACATTTTTCAATTGCATGAAAACTGCGTAGTAGTACAGGTCCTGAAACAGAAACCTTTTTTAAATCTTGGTTCGCTTAATAATTACACAATAACTGGGAAACCTAACAGGCTTATTGTACTTATGTGTGGGAATAGGAAGTCTCCCACCCTATGGTGCACCCACACTACTACTCAAAGAGGTATTCGTGTCCTATCCTTGTTGTCGTGTCAGTGGTTGTGCATTATAGTTCCCACCTATATCTCTTTGGAAGCTGGCAATGCAAATTCCAATGAAATTTGTTCATATTTTAACAAAAATCTATAATTGAATGGAAAACATAGATGGATGGGTGGATGGAAGAGGCAGTTGCTGCAAGTTTCTCATCCATGCATGGAAACAAAGCTTAAAAGCCTTGCTAGAGATTGAGGTAGAATACAACACTTGACATGGAGAGATAACCCTTTATATATGACATGTTTATGTGCTTTTTTTAGACCCAAATATTTTAAAGCTTAATGATTGGAGTTCAATACAAACTCTTTAGATTATAGGCAATGTCTTCAATAATGAAGGCCATGCATAATAACAAACTCCATGTGATAATCTGAATATTTCTATTAAATATATTTAGGATTGTAAACGAATCGAGTTGAGCCGAGCTTCAACATGTTAAAGCTCAAGCTCATATTCCAGGACCCTGTTCGAGGTCGACTCTATAAGAAATGAGCTTTTTAGTCTTTATTCAAGCTTGAGCTCGTTTAAAAAACCCCTGCTCGAGCTCAGTTCACATTCATATTTGAGCTCGATTATTTCAACTTATCGAGCCTCTTAATGAGCGCTCATTAACAAGTCGTTCGAGCTGCTCGTTAATGATCTGGTTGTTTAGCTCGTTTAACCTGGTCGTTTGTTTGACTTGTTTAAACAAAATAAAATACCTAAAATTGCATATCGTGAATAGCAAGCGAAACCGCTTCCGCCTCCAACTTCCCGCTTCCGGAGGTTTGGCTGATATTCCAATTTTTTTCGTTTTATAGAGCAAAATAATACTGTCCTGCACGGTGTGGGACTAATGCGTGAGCGTGAGCAGGCGCGAAGAGCGTCAAGTTGAGAGAGGGAGCTGGAAAATATTTTTTTGTAATTTTTTTTTTCTAATGCTTGAGTGGGAGCGGACAACAAGAAGGGGGTGTGGGAGCGGGGGCTGGAAAATAATTTTTTGTCATTTTTTGTTTTTTGTTTTTTTACATCCGGCCTCCTAGGGTTATTGAATAGCGGTTGATTTTATTTTTATTTTTTAATTTTTTCTTATTAATTGAGCAAGCTCATGAGCTAATGAGTTGGGTATATTGCCGAGCTTGAAATGGAGTTTCTATAATATACAAAGTCTATTATGAGCTCGAATCGAGCTCGTTGTTTGATATGCTCGACTCGCGAGCTTGTTTACAAGCCAGTTTGACTCACTTACACCCTTAGAATCACTAATTTCTTCGTTTAACTCATGAACAGCATCAAAATCTTTGATTTCACTTTTTATCTCCCCCACAAATACCTGCAAATTCTTACTAATGCATTCATTGTCATGCTGACCAAATTGAAGATATTGAAATGATGCTTTTGCATAAAGCTTAGATCCAAAAGCAAAGCAAGTTGTTTTCTCCTTGTGCTTATTAACCGTAGTGTTAATGCCCTTGGATGAGGTAGGTGAAATAGATTGAACTTGCTTGTTTTGATGGAATGATGCACAACTAGAATACCTAGTGACTTTCTTCGACATAAGAAATTTAAGTATTTACATTTGAAGTCTAATACATGTTGAAAGCTTGCTTAAATGTTAGACTTTGGTTAGATGTCATCTCTTTCTTCTTATTAGGTCTTTGATTTTAGGATCTTTAATGATTTCAAATTTATTTGTGTTAGTAACAATTGTAGGATTCATGTAGCTGATCCCATGTCATGGGATAAAGGCTTGTTATTGTTGTTGTTGTTGTTAGTAATAATTGTAATTCATTACTTTAATAAATCAAATTCATCAAAAAAGCATTTGCAATATTGGAAATGTAATTTTTTTTCTTATTTCAGCTAAGTTAATAGTAAGATCCTTTCCTAATTTTTCTCTTTGCCATTAAATGATGTTTAAAATGATTAAGATGAAAGTGTAATATAAGTTGAAGGTATATTTCCATGATTACAACAACAACAATAATAACAAACCTTTATCCCACCGTGGGGTCGGCTACATGAAATATTTTTCTCTATTGTGTTATGTTAAGAGTCAAATTCTCATCTAAATCTAAAAAAGAAAAGTCATTTGTAATATTTTCTAAGTCTTTTCAGGTCTCCCGTACATTCCTCAAAATTTTTATTCATCTACAAACGGAAGTTTTTATATTTACTTATATGATGCTAAAATCTCTAAATCTCATAAAAAATATCACTAATATTAAATTGCTTAAAATAAAATATACTTTTTTCATGCGTATGCTTTGATGTGATTTATATACCAAAGTTATAGATAAGTAAATATAAAGATTTATGTATTAGATGTATAAATACATAAGAATTTTATATTATGTATGTAAATCCCCCATTTGATTTTGTATGTTTCCTTTTAGAAGTTCTAGGATTGTATAAATAATACTCAAATATTAGCATGAAATATTAAATGCCTAACACTGGAGCCAAAATGCATGGCGTTATATATTTTTTTGGCATAGTAGTGTAACTCTCCGAAGTCTTATTCATATAACAATGGGATTTTATGCAGGTCAGAGACTGTATGGAATTGCTGGAAGTCCCGCCTATGTTGCCCCCGAAGTCCTTTCAGGTCACTATTCTGAGAAAGTCGACATTTGGGGTGCAGGCGTTCTTCTTCATGCCCTCTTAGTCGGTTCTCTTCCATTCCCGGGAACCTCGCGTGAAGCTATATTTGAGTCCATTAAAACGATGGAGCTGAATTTTCACGGTGAAATATGGGACTCTGTATCTCTTCTTGCACGGGATCTATTAAGTCGAATGCTCACCAGAGATGTTTCCTCAAGATTGGTAGCAGACGAAATTCTAAGTACTTGCTACTTCCCCATATCCCATTTTATCTTTTTAATTTTTTCTTGCTTCACAAATGCTGATCCCCTTTATTTACCAGGACATCCCTGGATTCTGTTCTACACAGAGTGTCCTCCCAGGCTAATTACAAGCAACCCAAGAATCCGAATTAGGAGTGCGGCGGCACCCAGAATCGATTGCGGGTATTCGGATCCGAGGTCCGACGACGAGCAAGATGAATGTGGTGGTTTTGTCGATGCTCTCGCGGCGGCGATATCGAGGGTGAGGATATCGGAGCCGAAGAGGAGTCGGCTTTGCGTGCCCGCCGGCCAAATTCCACAGGAGTGCTCATCTAACATGAAGGCTAATAATCTCTGTACAGCCTTTTGACCGGTCACTGGTGTATAGTAATCGAAGCTTCCAACTGTGAGTGAGTATTGAATTGACCACATAAGAGTTTCTTTCTAGCTTATTAGAATCCAACAGGGGGGGTTGGGTTGGGTTGGGTTCTCTGATTTTATGATATTCTAACTCTAATTTGCAGCCAATTATCTTTTCACTTGAACATAACTGAAGTGCTTTACTCTACCTACCGTAGCGAACTAGCAATGTAAATTTGTGTAAATAAGGGGTTGTGTACTGCTGCTTCCTGATTATTATTTTGTAGCCAATTATCTTTTCAGTTGACAACGTAAGTTGTTTATTTTAGCCTCAATTTGGCAAGCCCTGCATTGATATGGGTCCCCTAATTATAGTTATATTTGATTGATTTTTTTTTTACATTGTGTAATGCTTATATGTTTTATTTTTTGGATAGTTTGATTTCTAATTTTAGAGCAGAATATTTGAAGTTTTCTTGGTCATAATAACATGATTTTACTGTAAGGTTTGTTAACTGCACGCATAAGGTAACGATCCTTCTCCCTTTGGTGCGTTTTTCTGGTTGAGAGAGCAAAATAACGTAGGACGCACTGTTCACCTGCAATGAAATGGCGGAATATTTGGCGTTCGGCTGGAGCGACCGAACGACGCCATACACTCGTGTGGCGTTCGGTTGGAGATGCCCTAAATGTGTTCATGTATTACATTTTTTGTGGTTTTTTAATGATTGGGTTCTGTATTTGCTTTTTGGTTTAGGGACTTTTTAGATCAACATTTGTAAAATGTATTTGTTTAAAAATGGCAGAGTAATTAAAATGTCAAAAATATGAGTTATTTGATGCGATGTAAATTAAATATATTAAAATAATAGTTTGGGATTTTATTGAACAATGTAAATTGTAAGGGACAATGAATGCTTAACGTTTGTGTGCGCGAGTTATAAGTGAATATTTTGTTGAGAGTGGAGAATTTAATCTTCATGATTATTAAGCTTAATTGAACAACTTTTTCATTAAGAATTTTTATAATTAAAAAAAATCTATTAGCTTTATTGTCTTTATTATAACCATACATGTGATATTTTGATCTTCAGAGGAAACTAAGAATAATCTCAAATGATATGGGCTTAATTATCTCAATTTTAAAATGATAAATTATAATTATCTTCAAATTTATGAGATTATAACGAATGAGTACTGAAATTATTCAATCACTATGTGATAAAATTTTAAAGAGAAATTTAATAAGTTTAAAGTTGTCTCTTATGAGGGTTTCTGGAGAGAATTATTAGCAATTTTTATATAAGCCTTTTGTTTTTATTTTTTTCTTGTTTGATTAAACATGTAATTTCTTTCTTTCTGATATAATGAAAATAGTGTTGCAATGCTAAAACCAAATAGTGAACGACCAAGAAGAAAAAGTCCTACAGTGAAAGATCTGGTAAGTTAAAACCAAAGGCCAAAACGTTATGCAAAGCCACTCCATCTGAAGAACCTAATAATATGTCTAAAAGCCTTAAAAGTCAAATTCTAATCTAGATCTAATAAAGAAAGGGCATTTCTAATATTTTCTAACCAAGTTTTTTTAAGCCTACCTCTATCTTTCTTAACATAGGCCGTTTTATGTGAATAAACCATCTAAGACGACTCTCTATGATCTTATCTACAACTGGAGCTACTCTAACCTTTTCGTGTATTTGTTTATTTCGTATTCTATCTCTAAAAGTAAATCCACTCATCCACCTGAGCATCCTCATCTCTGCAACACTTAACTTAATATTATACTTCTCTTTTAATGGCCAAAATCCTACGCCATAAAGCATTGTAGGTCTAACCACCATCTTATAAAATTTCCCCTTAAATTTGAGTGGTACTTTTCTATCACACAACATGCCCGTTGCATTCCTCCACTTCATCCATCAAACTTGAATTCTACTAATAATATCCCCATCTATTTCACCATCACCCCCACTAGAACTATTACTACTAAAATTACACTCCATGTATTTATTTTTAGATCTACTCAAATGAAAACCTTTAGATTCTAAGGCCGACATTCATAATTCAAAATTTTCTTCAACTCTCTCTATAGTCTTATCAACAAGAAGAATATTATAAGCAAAAATCATACACCAGGAAACATCCTCTTGCAAGTCTGTGGTAAGAACATCCATGACTAAAGCAAAAAGATATGAGCTTATTTAATAAAGTAAGCTGAATATAATTTAAGCTCGTCCAGATTCAATTTATTTGCTGCTCTCCAGCAAAAAAGTTTTACTAATACGCCGATAAAAACATAAATCTTTATTTTCATCTAGGGAGCTAAGGTCACTATAGTCAATTTTATTTTTACAATCTTCATTAAAAAGTTTAGCAAAATATCTCATCCATCTTTGTTGAATATCATCTTCTAATAAAAGTATTTTTTGATCTTCATCTTTAATACACTTCACTTGAACTAAATCCTTACTGAAATTATTCAATCACTATGTGATAAAATTTAAAAGAGAAATATAACAAGTTTAAAGTTGTCTCTTATGAGGGTTTCTGGATTGAACTATTAGCAATTTTCATATAACCCTCTTTTTTTTTTCTTGTCTGATTAAACATGTAATTTCTTTCTTTCTGATATATTGAAAATGGCGATGGTCAATTTAGGGTATTATCTCAATGCCAACTTCCTCTTTACAGTCGAAAGAAACCAAAGATCCACAAGCCAAAACGTTATGCAATACATGAACAAGCCTTAAACAAGTCAAATACAGAGCTTATTATGTACGTTACAGGTGGATCTGGACTTTCTGGATCAGCAATCAGCTGACTAGGGAATTTTTTCATGTATTTATTCAATAAAGTAACAACAACAACATCAATAAATTTTTATGCATTACGTGGAGTCGGCTACATGAATTCTTTTTCTTCATTGTGTCCGATTAAAAGCCAAATTCTCATCTACTGATATTTTCTAAAGTCTTTTTAGGCCTATCTCTATCTTTCTAAATATAGGTTAAATCTAAAACATCTACTCTCCTAACTGGGTCTCCAGTAGGAACTTTAATTTGGTCCGGTCACAGGATGTAGCTCTACGTTCGACCGCCAGTAGAATCGCGCCAAACGTTCTCATTATTTACCGTGCGCCCCGACAACCCGACCAGGAACGGACCCAGGCTGGCTCAGTATTTCTCGATTTTGCTAAGTATGCCCGGTATTGCTAGGTATTGGTCGATTTTGCTCGACAATAACCAATACCGAGCAAATACCGAGCAATACTGAGAAAATACTGAGTAATACCGAGGAATACCGAGTTGTACCGAGTTTTTTCTAGAAAAACTCGGTATTCCTCGGTATTGCTCTTCAAAGAGCGGTATTTCTCGTTATTTCCAAGCAATACATAACAATACCGAGCAATACCAAGCAAATACCGAGTAATACCGAGTAATACCGAGGAATACCGAGTTGTACCGAGTTTTTCTAGGTACAACTCAGTATTGCGAGGTCTTGCTCGGTATTGGTTTTCACATAGCGGTATTTCTCATTATTGCCGAGCAATACCTAGCAATACCGAGCAATACCGAGCAAATACCGAGTAATACCTCGCAATACGCAACCAACATACCGGGGTTCCGGTCCGGGTCAAGTCGTCGCGCGGTAAAGAGTAAGAGCACGTGGCTACATGTTATTGGCGGCCGAACGTAACTCTACGTCCGGTCAGAGGACGTAATAATTGTTCATTGGAGCAACTTCAACCTTTTATGCTCATTTGTATATTGTCTTTGAGAATAAATCCACTCATCCACCCAAGCATCCTCAACTCTGCAACACTTAACTTAATATCATACTTCTCTTTTAATGGCCAAAATTTTGCGCCATAAAGCATTACAGGTCTAACCATCATCTTATAGAATTTTTCCTTAAGTTTGATTGATACTTTTCTATCACACAACAAGCCCGATTCATTCCTCCACTTCATGCATCCAACTTGAATTCTACTAATAATATCCCCATCTATTTCACCATCACTCTGAATGATAGACCCAAGATATCTAAAACGTGTACTCTTACTAATAACTTAATCGCTCAAAGTCACAAACCCCCCACTAGAATTATTATTACTAAAGTTACACTCAATGTATTTATTTTTAGACTCTACGGTCGACCTTCATAATTCAAATTTGCCTTCAACTCTCTCTGTAGTCTTATCAACAAGAAGAATATCGTAACCAAAAAGAATACATCAGGGAACATCTTCTTACAAGTCCGTAGTAAGAACATCCATGACTAAAGCAAAAAGATATGAGCTTATTTAATAAAGTAAGCTGAATATAATTTAAGCTCGTCCAGATTCAATTTATTTGCTGCTCTCACAGCAAAAAAACTTGCCGACAGTATTGAATATCATTAGTGCCTTTCCAGATGTGAGTTTAACTATACAGATCTTTTTCATAAATTCAAAGATATATCTCACAGTTAACGAGATCTTAAAATTCCAACTCTGCATATATTCTTCATGTTGCCTTTTAGTCAGATCTAAATCTATCAAATCAGTATGTTAGATCCAAGGTTCTCTGATGTAGATATCAAGACCAGATGCGATTTGAGCTTGCAAAATAAAATGGAAGGAAGAGAGAACTTTTCTCACTGATTTTTTAAAATCAAGGTAGCTTGCAAAAGATATGATTGAATTCCTTAAAATAACAAATAAAATAGAGTATAATAGGAATTCTATAGGGATTGAAGCAACATAATTTTGACTAGCTAGGAGTATAATATTATATAATATTATATACATAATAGATTTTCATACGCAAAATTTTTCATATTTGTTGCGTCCAGGAGTATTCTAAAGTTTATCGTCTTAGCGTTGTACGAAAATCTGGCACGCAATCGGATAAGAGAGAGGGTCTAACATTTATGAGACACCAAGATTTTTACGTGGAAAACTCCTGAAAAGGGGGAAAAACCACTGAGCCTAGCCCAGTTTGAATGAATCCACTAGTATTGCAGTCGATTACAAATGAGGCCCTTCCTTGGGAGAAGGCCTTAGCTTGATGTACATTTTATATAGTACATTACATGATATGAATACAAAGAATCACTATTGACATGTTCATTTAGTCGAGAAGACCGAAGTCGGCGGGCGACGGAGGTCGGAGGGCTTGTAGTCGGTGGGCAACGTAGGTCAGGAGGACTGTAGTCGGCTAGCGACGGAGGTCGGAAGGACTGTAGTCGGCGGGCGACTTAAGTCAGGAGGACCGTAGTCGACGGGTGACAGAGGTCGGAAAGATTGTAGTCGGTGGATGACATAAGTCAGGAGGACCGTAGTCGACGGGCGACG